ACTGTATAGCACAGGGAACTCTATGAACTATATTCAATATCTTGTAAGAATCTATAAGGGAAAAGAATCTGAAAAAGAATAGATCCATATATATGTATAACTGAATCACTTTGCTAAACACCTCAAACTAATACAACATTGTAAATCAACTATACTTCAATTTAAAAAATTTTTTTTAAATAAAAAAGAAAGAAAGGAAGGAAGGAAGGAAGGAAGGAAGGAAGGAAGAAACCCAGCATTTCTTCCCCACCCCGACTGGATTCTGGAGGGGGCAAGAGAAGGAGACTGGCTATAAAAGACCTCTGAGGGCTCAGGCTGTACGTATACCTTCTTCTCAGCAGCCCTTGAGCATGTTGCCAGGCCTAGGGCTGGGCTCGAGGCTGGGATAGGAAGAATACAGGGTGGTAGTGTACCAGAACCGTGACCCCAGAAATAGTAACTTCTGAAGCTTCTCGAGTTACCTACTCTAAAATCCCCAACATCCTTCTAAAAGGGAGATAATTCAAAGATACTTTCAGCTTGTGTTTTCTTTTCTACAAGGAGAGCCAGTATAAATTATACCTAAGTAAATAAAAGAGTAACTTTGATTTGAGAAAAGCAGCCAGGAAGTTCAACGGCATTTCCTAGCCATACGGGCCTCAGTGTTTGGGCTTTACGTGTTTGGCCTGACAGAGCACCCTTAGAATGTGGGTGAGCCCGCCATGGGAGCCCGTGAATGGAAGCCTGTTCTCCGTGTGGCTTAGCTGAGGCCTCTGTAGGGCCAGGCAGCCTGGGACTGGCCTGAAGAGGCTGAGAGGATGCTAAGGGTCAGTAATGAATTTCCCACTATCTTCGAAGCTACGTGCATCTCATGTAACACTTCCAGTGAGAACAACTGGGGACCCGCCTTCTTTCAGGGGACCCTCCCCGGAGGCAGCAGAGCTTATGAGAAACTTGACTCCTAACTGCGATAAGAGAGGCCTTCAGGAAGACGGACTTTCTCCTTCATTTCAGTTCAAGCAGCTAGACGAATGAACATTGGCCTAGCCCCTACCACGCGCTGCGAGGGAGACACATCTTCACAGTCCCGGGATCTGTGAGACTCTCACGGAAAATGCAGCAACCCAGAAGGTAGGTGGAGAAGAAAGCCGCCTCTCTGTTTGGCCTGGGAAGGCTGGCTTGGGCAAGATATAAGGCCATGTCCAAGTTCCCTTGGCGGGCAGGGGCTTCACAGAATACAGAGCAAAGTCAGAAGGCATAAGAAACAGGGCAGCAGCCACTCAGCAGAAGCACCTGGACAACTTGGGGGCTGACGGGAGGGGCCTGCCGCTTTGATCCTGATGTTTTGAAGGTGGGCCCTCGTACCCACTGTAGCCATTCAGAAACATGCGTCAAGCCTTCACACCACCACCGCAAAAGTAACTACCACCTACATGGCATTTACTATGTGCCCTTTGACATGCGTTATCTCACCTCTTCTCTAGTTCAATAATACTCAGCTTTACAGATGAGGGAACGGAGGCCCAGAAAGATGAAGTGCTGTGCCCTGAGATCACATGGCTGATCAATGGTGAAGCAGGCCCCGCCTCAGGCTGCCTGGTTCTAAAGCCATACACCAAATGAATCTCTCTCTACAGTGACTCCATAATTGACAGAATCAACACCTTGTGATCCAAGTCACAACTTCAGGGGGCTTCCCTGGTGGCACAGTGGTTAAGAATCCGCCTGCCAATGCATGGGACACAAGTTCGAGTCCTGGTCCGGGAAGATCCCACATGCCATGGAGCAACTAAGCCCGCGTGCCACAACTACTGAGTCTGCGCTGAGAGTCCGCGAGCCACAACTACTGAGCCCCTGTGCCACAACTACTGAAGCCCACGCACCTACAGCCCGTGCTCCACAACAAGAGAAGCCACCGCCATGAGAAGCCCATGCACCGCAACGAAGACCTGATGCAGCCATAAATAAATAAATAAATTTTTTTTTTAAAAAAGAGCTCTACAAATCACAATTTCATTCATTCACGAAATATTTATTGAGCACCTTCCAGGTGTCAGACATTAGGCTGGGTACTTGGAAAACATCAGTTAACAGGTTGAGTCCCTGCTGCCACAGAATTCAGAGTCTAGGGGGTAGGAAGAGCTAAGAAACACATAAATATATAATATGCCACATGGTGACAAATGCTAAGAGAAATAAAACAGGGTAAGACAGAGAGTGACAGGGTGGGGACTTCTATTTTTTAAATAGATTGTTCAGGGAAGGCCTGTCTGAAAAGATGACATTCCAATGGAGACTTGAATGAAGAAAGGGGAAGTCATGCCGTTATCTGGGGAAAGAGCATTTCGGGAATAGGGGAGAGGAAGTGCAAAGGGCCTGAGGCAGGACTGTACTTGTCAAGTTCTACAAAGAGAAAGGAGGCTACACTGGAGTGAGGGAGGTGGGAAGTGGTAAGATATGAGAGCAGAAAGATGACAGGGGCCCAGGCCGGGGAGGTCCCCATTAAAGACCTTGGATTTGATTCCAAGTGAGACGAGAAGCTAGTGGAGGATTTCAAACAGAAAAATCATATGGTACGACTTTCAATTTAATGGTATAGACTGAAGTGGGGCAAGGGCAGCAGCAGGGAGACTGGTGAGGAGGCTGCTGCAAAATTCCGGGGGGGCTTCCCTAGTGGCGCAGTGGTTGAGAGTCCGCCTGCCGATGCAGGGGACACGGGTTCGTGCCCCGGTCCGGGAAGATCCCACGTGCCGCGGAGCGGCTGGGCCCGTGAGCCATGGCCGCTGAGCCTGCGCGTCCGGAGCCTGTGCTCCGCAACGGGAGAGGCACAACAGTGAGAGGCCCGCGTACCATAAAAAAAAAAAAAAATTCCGGGGCGGGGGTGTGGAGACGGCTTCGCAGACCAAGGGGACAGCAGTGGAGGTGAGGACATGTGGTCAGAGCTCGGATATATTTTGAAGGTAGAACTTACAGAATTGTTCGAAGGATTGGATGTGGGATATAAGATAAAGAGAGCAGTTAAATATGACTCCAATTAATTGGAAGGATGCAGCTGCCACTTATGGACGGAGCAGGGTGACGGGGAAACTAAGAGTTCAGCTTGGGACCTGTTTGGTTTGAGATTCCTATTAGTTCTGTGAAATGAAGGTATCAAGTAGACAGCTGTGTAGATAGGTCTGAAATCCAGTCTGGGCTAGAGATACGCATTTGGGATTGACCAGCACACAGGCGGTATTTATATAGATGGTATTTAACACCAAGAGACTGGAAGAGATCCCCTAGGGAGTGAGTGTAGAGAGAGAAATTGTCTGAGATCGGAGTTCTGGGGCTCTCAAATGTTTAGGAGTTGAAGCGTTGAAGAGGAGAGGACATCCAGCAAAGGAGACAGAAGGAGGGTAACCAGGAAGCCAGGAGGAAAAGCATGAGGGTGTGACATGGAATCCAAGTGAAGGAGGTATTTACAAGAGAGAGCAGTCGACTGCAGCAAACGTTGCTGACGATGGCTCAGCTAAGATGAGGACAGAGAAGGAACATTTGGCTTTGGAAAGTGGAGGTCCCCGGCTAGCCTGGATAAGAGTGGTTTCAAGGAGTGTTGAGGATGAAAAACAGAGTGGAGTGGATTCAAGAGAACAGGAGAGGAGAGGAAGAGGACGGAGAGTCCACGGACACCAGTTATAAGTCTTGCTGCAAAATGAAGCGAAGAGATGTGACAATAAGACAAGAGTTGGTTTTATCTCAGGTTGGGTTTACAAGGCGAGCAGGATAGAAGTGAGGGACTATGAACTGCTGGCGCTGACAAAGAAGGGATTGTAATATATCCAAGCCAAAGTGTTCAGAACTAACCCAGAGTCAAATACCCAAAGTGAGCAGACTTGTCTAGGCATGAAGAGCCTGCGGTTTTGACCCTTCCCAGGAGCCAGTTAGATCCTGTGAATCCCACTTACCGCATGTCAATTCCCCAAACGACTCAAGAGCAGCCATTCCTGCCGCTGCTCTAAAGCGCTCAGCACACCGTTAGACAGCACACCTCCCCGCTGTCCACCCAGCCCCTGGTGCCCAGTGTTTCCTTTAGGATCTGCTGCTGCTACACCCCCTTCCACATGTTTCCTGAAGTCCCAAGAGTCTCTGAGGAAATCACGTCACCTGACTGGAAAAGTTATTTCTGGGAGAGAAGCAAATTCTGAAAAGCTATATCAGCTAATACACCCACTCCCTGCCCAGACTGAAAGAGTCTGGCCAGCCAGGGTGTTGGCGTCTGAAAGCAGAGGTCCCACTTGGAGGCATTCAGCACGTGAGCGCGGCGCCTTTTGACACAGCTGTCTTGAAATGTGTTTTGAAAAGAAAGAATGCTTATTATTAAAAAAAAAATGACCCAAGAGCTTGTGCAATAGACACCCCTGATGCTGTTAAGGGTGGGGAGAGGGATGCCGCCAGACAGTTCATTTGCCTCCCTCTGGCCCTGGCCCTGCTCCCTAGAGCACCCACTATTAATTGAGAGGAGGCTGGGTGTACACGCGGGGGACACGCATGCTCTTATCACAAGTCCTTTGGTGTTCCTGACCTGTCAGACAAAAGTAGTAGTAATAATAATAATAATAGTACAGATAATGGTGCTAATAATGAACAGCTGTGGCGCTCTTACTGTATACTGAGTAGTGAGCTCAGCACTTAACACAATTGAGGACATAAGGGAATAGGTATATCAATTTGATTAAACAGTGTCCTTTTTGTTTTTTGGCCGTGCCACACGGCTCGTGGGGATCTTAGTTCCCCGACGAGGGATGGAACCCGTGTCCCCTGCAGTAGAAGCACAGAGTCGTTACCACTGGACCATCAGGAAATTCCCTAAACAGTGTCCATTTTCATGTGAAACTTCTGAGAAAAGGGTGTGGCTTCTCACTAGACAGTGTGACGTGCCTTCAGGAAATATACACACGTCTAACAGCATTGAGGGCATCAGAACTGGTCTTTCCGTGATAGCCCGATAGGTAATTCCAGCCCCACTCTCCCGACATGCTCACCATTCCTCAGGATCACATCTCCGCTCTGGCTGGAAGGGCTGAGTCCCTGGGGGCTCTTGACATTGCCCAGAGCTCTGGAGAAGTGTTCGTCCACTACGCTGCTGATGTCCCCTTGGAAATAGGTGAAAAGGACACAGCGGGAATTCCATTCAGTCTTGATAGGACTCTGCATCTGGACGGCGGTCTTCCTCACTTCTTCCATCGTGACACAGGGGAGAGCTGCGGAGCAAACGCAAAATGTCACTGGTACTCTTTTTCCAAGCGGCTTGGCTGTAGTTTGGAGAAGCAGCGTCCTTGAGGGCGAGCAGTTTGCTCCTAAGGTTCGGGCTTTCTCACTGGGGCCCTGGGTAGCTGCGCAGCTGCTGAGTCCAGGAAACAAGACAGAGCTCTACCAAGTCCTGAAGCGACTCTCTTACAAATGAAAAAGATTGTCTGGGAGCATGATTAGAAGAGCATCAGGAAATGAAAAAGAAAGAGAGGGAGGGAGGGAGGGAGAGAGAGAGAGAAAGAAAGAAAAAAGAAAAGAAAAGAAAGAGGGAGGGAGGGAGGGAGGAGGGGGAGGGAGGGGACACTGAGAACAAAGAGTGGAGTAACTTGCCTTCTGGGGAAGTGTCTGCCTCCCGCGAAAAGCACGTGCAGATCCCCCTGAACAAGGGCACTGAGTATCCCAGTAGAGCTTGGCTAAGCAGTCCAGTGGGTACTGACAATTTCAGGTTCCCTAATAAGCACTGCCTTCCACCTTGGCGACTTCCACGCAGGAGCATCAAACACATCAAATTCTCCCTCCCCTCTGAAGCCATAATCTGTGTTCGATGGGGTCCTGCACCCACCCCCACCCCATCTTAGAAACTAGCAATTACAAACAACACCAGTTCTGAGGCCTCCAGACAGATATACTCTGCCCAGAGTCATTTAGAAAATGTCAGAGCTTTAAATCCAGGTCCAATTGACTCTGAATCCCATATTCTTTTTTTTCTTTTTTTTTTTGGTCGCGCCGCATGGCTTACAGGATCTCAGTTCCCCAGTCAAGGATTGAACCCCGGGCCACGGCAGTGAAAGCCCGGAATCCTAACCACTAGGCCACCAGGGAACTCCCAGACAGATATACGCTGAAGCAAATGCAGAGAACACTTTTCACACTAATATTTTGTGGCGACATTGGGGAAAAGCGCTCTGTTCACCACGCTTCCTCTGCGCCTAGAACGGTGCCTGATGCCTAGCTTAATATTGAACAAATGCTCAACAGCCGTTGGCTAAATTGCCTTAAACTTGGCCTCCATCATTGGATTCTACCTGTGAGCTCCTTGAGGGCAGAGGCTGTCCTTTTGCACCCAGGCGGGGACCGGCACACAGTGGGCACTGGAGACAGGCCGTGGCCTTCCTTCACCAGGAAGTAACCAGTCTGGGTGCTTCGTCACCTCTGGCCATCCAATCCGACTTGCCCCGTGCTCTGGCTAAAGACACCTTGAATCTATTCTGATGCATATAATGCAAATGACTAGAGTTTAATAGCTCTCCTCCCTCTCTAGTCTCTGAGATCCTCGAGGATGGGGACCATTTCTTATTCATTTCTTTATCTCTCGCACCTAACACTTAGTAAACAATGGGCTGAGTGGTGAAATGCCATTTCGGGCAGTAAAAGCACAAAGCAAGGAAGTCACACCGGTCACAGGTCAGAGGACCTGGGCTTGCCCTTGGCTGGATGTGTGCCTTTGGGGGAAATCACAGAGCCTCTCTGGGCTTCAGATTCCTCTAGGGTAAAATGAAGAGGTTGGGGTGTATGAATTCTGCAGCCTGTTCTTTTATGGTCCCGCCAGAAGTGCCAACAGATTATGATGAAACATTACGAGGGAATCCGGCAGAGAGCAGAGGACCCTTACTTAAAAGTTCTCCTTTCGGAATCCTAGCCTCAGTCACGGCTGGATTCTCTAGTCTCCAGAAGCCTCTGATGGAGCACGTCAATCTGTTTCCCCCGGGTGACAACCATGCTAAGTAAGCATCACAGGTACTACCTGAAAACTGAATCCACTGTATCCTTATTTCAAAACACACGAGAACAACCACTTTGAAAAACTGGCGGTTTCTTCTAAAGTTAAACGTACACTTAACCATATGACCCAGCAATCCCACTTCTAGGCACATGTAACCAAGAGAAATGAAAACAGATATCTGCGCAAAGACTTCTACATGTTCTCAGTGGCTTTATTTATAATAGCCAAAAAGTGGAAACAACACAAGTGTCCATCACCAGGAGAATAAATAAACTAGCTGTGACACTTTCATACAATGGAATGTTCGTCAGCCAGAAAAAGGCACAGACTACCAATCCACCCAACAGCATGGATGAATCACTAAAACATTAAGCTGAGTGAAAAAAGCCAGACACAAAAGACCACATATTGTATGATTCCACTTACACGAAACAGGCACAAATAATCTATGGTAATAAAAGAACAACGGTCGCCTGCGGGGTGGGGCTTGGAAAGGGGTGAGAGGGAAGTCGTAGGAGTGTTGGGAATGTCTTACATCCTGAAGAGGGTGAAGGTTACACGTGGTTGTAGACATTTGTCAAAACTCATCAAATTGTGCACTTAAGATCTGTGCATTTCACTGAAGGCAAATTATTCCTCAGTGAAAAAGCACATATTATCGTCAGATACTTGGACTCATAGAAATAAAGCAAAGGTGTAATCCTTGGGCCCGTTACACGGTAAGTCAAAGACAAGTACTGTATGATCTCACTTATATGTGAAATTTTCAAGAGGCAAACTTGTAAAAATAGAGAATAAAATGGTCGTTCCCGGGGATGGGGGGCAGGACCAATGTTGTTTAAGGAAACAAACATGCCACGAGTAGTGAGTAAGTCCTAGAGCTCTACTGCGCAGTGCAGTGAAAGTAGACAACGATATTGTATTATAATCATCAAACTTTCTAAGAGACTGAACTTAATTATTTCAACCACTAACAAGAAAGGATCATTATGCATCATGATAGAGGTGCTAATTAATGGCTCCGACGGCGATCATATGACAACATATAAATTTATCACATTAGCATGTTGTACACCTTAAATCTACAGAAGTTATACGTCAAATATATTTCAAAAAATAGCAAATCAAATAAATAAAGCGACAGTGTTGTGAATGACGAAGTAATGATAAATGTGGACGCAGCCCTTCTTCTAAAGCGGCAGTTTACATTAGACCTACCCTGTGTCGGAAGCTACAGATATACTTTCTCCAATCTTTACAACCTTCAAGGAGGTATTCTTGTCCCCATTTTATAGATGAGCAAATTCAGGCTTCGAGAAGGGAAATCGAGGGCCCAGGCCACGCAGCTCGGTGGTGGCAAAGCTGGGGTTTGAACTCAGGTCTCCCTGACTTCAGTGTCTGGCCTTTTCTCCCCATCCCTTTCTAACTACCTGGTGGGGCTAACCGTCCGTTCCCCTCCACGGGACTCGCACCAGGACCCTAACCCAGCTCTCTGGCTCCCCGTCGGGCGTGCAGGCAGGCGGCCCGTGCGCTCTCGCACACATCTTCTGGAAGCCTGTACCGGCAAGGGTCGCTTGGCGCCTTTGTGGGTTTTGCCCTCTTACCCTCTCGTCAGTGGCCACTTCTCTAGCTCAGGCTTGACCCAGCCTGCCACCTCTCTTTGCTAAGTCTCCCTGAAGCCACGAAAAGAGCCGGCCGGACTCTTGGGACATCAGGGCGGTGAAGCACACTCCCAGCCCCCGTGGTAAGAGACCACAGGCTAGCTCCGTAGCGATAGAGCAGGTCAGAGCACCGTCTCAGCGCCCTCACCCGGGGGGCTCAGACCTTACACAACTCTGATCCTGAATAAACCCCGAGACCTGCCCGTGCCCCTCTCTTTTCCTCACCAAACACATGACACATACTCGAAAGGAAAGCCCTGGGTTACGTCTCTGGACCCAGCTGATAAGCAGTTCTCCGGACTGTACTCAGAGCTCAGGGGCGAGGATCTGTATTTGCGGGCGATTCAGATTCTGAGAACTGTTATCTGATTTAATTCTTTCATCCCCACACGAAGCCTCCTTGAGGGCTCTCGTCTTTATTCGGGAGTGAATTGGTGGGGTGGGTCTGACTTAGAAGGGGGGCCGCAAAGCTGGAACTAATGGGAGGTCAACGAGGCAGAAGAAAGGGTGGGACTTTCCTAGCCAAGATGTTTCTGTATCGACGCCTGGCTTTGTAGCGAAAGTCTCTTGCTGACAAAACCCTCGGCCTTGTCCAAGCTTTGTCAGCTGTGCCGTTCGAACAGCAGAACTACAAAAGCCCACTGTAACTTGCAGTTTCCCCAACGCACAAAATATCAAGACACCAAGCAGGCATTAAAATACTGCCCGGTCTTCTGCACAAATATTTTAACATGGAATCCAAGAGGAACGGTTTGACCTGACTTCTACCAGGCTGCCTACCTTGACGTGCTTACCACCCTTCTGCGAAATGGTACCCAGCACCCCGGCGGTGGGATGGGAAATCAAAGAGGTGATCACCTGGAACAAAAACCCCAAAGGGACCGGACTGTATCTCACTGAACAGAGCATGTGATGCCCTCCACCACCACCCCACCCCCAGCCCCGATTCCTTCCCAGTTGAATTTCCATCCCTCCTGTCTCCCCCAAAGTCCCCACCTCTTACCTTAATTCTCGACCATCGGCGGAGACACAGGAAGATGCTATGGCCGGGCAAACGTACCTTTTTATGGCCGGAGCCGCCTGGCCCGTTTTCGAGCAGCTCAGTGCTGGCCCGAGCAGGGCCTGGCGATCTTGTGCCCTCCCCTTGCTACTTTCTACCCTTCTAGCAGAGCCTAAACGAGGCATTTCCTGCTAGCTATCTATTAAGAATGCAGAAAATGTACTCCAACAAGTCAATCGGGTTGGGCACCTGCAGGAATGAGGAAAATAGGTAGTTCTTTTTTTTTTATTTCTTTCTTTTTGCATTAAAAAAAAAGCACTTAGCGATATTGTCTCTTAAAGTGGGCGGCCAATTGTTTGCCCGGAAACCACACACAGAGTAGTAATGTCTGAAGCCTCAGTGGTGGGGCTGGGATCCAAGTGATGTGACTTTCAGTCTCTGGAACAGACAGGAAGTTTGGCTGGTCTCTAGTTTCTTCCTCTCTCCCCTTGGGAAGAGAAGGGGAGCCCAACCCCCTAGGATTCTGGACTTTCTCAGGCTTCCAGGGGCCCAGAGGGATTGAGGACTTCTCCAAACTGGCAAGAGATGGAGCAGTTCAGGACTCCAGCTGCAGGTTTGGAGCAAAGGAGTCCCAGCCCTCATCCTGAAAAATCTTCAATAGTACCTCAGTAAGTGGCACCATCATTCAGACCCCAAAGTCTGGAGACGTCCTTTGCTTCTCCTATTCTCTGTTTCAATCATATTAATTTAACAGATATTTATTAAACACCTACTCTATACCAGGCATTATTCTGGGAGTTCTGTTCCATAGTGAACAAAACAGACCGAATCCCTGCCTTCCTGGAATAAATATACACACGTTCTATGTTTGTACGTTATGTGGACTTGTCAGATGGCAGTAAGTACAAGGAGAAATTAATCAGGAAAACGAAGCAGAGACAGGGAATAGGAAGTGTCTCATTTATCCAAGGCGGTCAGGAAAGAATTTTCTGATAAGGTGACGTTTGATCAGAACCCCGGGGGGGAAAACCATGTTGTTACCTGCTTTCCTGATATCTGAGGGAACATCTAATACAAAAGGCAGGTTCACACCTGGCTTGTTCACAGAAGAACGAGGTGGCCAGTGCATCTGGAGAGGCGGAGGGAGGAGAGATGGGACCACAGCACAGACAGCCTCTCCCGCCACGCTTAGGCTGTGGGCTTTTCCTCTAAGTGAGAAGGAAACCTGTTGATGGTTTCCATCCTTTCTCGCCACCTCCACCTTGCTCACCCTCGTCCAAACCCCCATCATTTCCCCCCTGGTCCACAGCCTCCTAACTGACTCAGTACTTCCACCCTTCGCCCTTTCTAATCCTTCACCCCAAGACAGCCAGAGTGATCGTTTGAGGACACGCATCAAATCCTGTCACTCCTTGTTGAAAATCTTCCAGTGGTGTTTGTTCCTGGCCCGTGACCCGCCCCCCTCCCCTTTGCTGTCTGTCCTCATCTCTTACCGCCGTCCCCTTCGCTCCACTCCAGCCCCACTCACTCCTGACAGGTCCTTGAACAAGTTAAACACCCTGTCGTCTTCACACTGACTGTTTTCTCTCCCCGGGATGCTCACCCCCCTGACACCCTCCTGACTTGCCCTCCCCTTCATTTAAACCTGGGCTCAGTCACTTCTTCCGAGAAGCCTTCCTTCATCATCCTGTCCAGGTCAGCAGCGTCTCCCACTCTCTGTCCTCTTACCCCACATCCTATTTCTTCACAGCACTTTTCATCTCTGGACGTCATATTGCATATTTATTTATTTACAGTTGGTTGTCCCTTCTAAAATCATGCCTGGTATATGGTAGGGGCTCAGTAAATATTTGTTGAGTGAATGAATGAGTAGTGGAGGGAGAGAAATTATTCACGTATTGACACAAATAGACAACCACAATGGTAATGAATCAATAGCTGGTGCAGGAGAGCCTGTGATAAGGAACCCTGACTACGTCAGCAAAGGTAGGGTTGTCTTCCTTGTGCAAATAAATGCTCCAGCTGAGATCCGAGAGGCTGAGAAGGAGTTAACCACGCAAAGAGGGGAGGGGTGACTGGTCCAAGCGGAGGAAACCGCCTGTGCAGCAGCCCTATGGCGGGAGGGGCCTGGGAAATATGAGTCATAGGGAAAAGGAATGGAGACAGTGGGAGAGAGCGTGGTGCAAGGTGAGCTGGAAAGGTAAGCAGGGGGCCAGAGCAAGAAGGGCTTTGCAGGCCCTACTGAAGCATTTTGTCTCTTTCCTAAGCAGCAGCAGAAGAGGAAGCTATTTAAAGGTTTTTTGGAGATGTGTGTTGAGGAGAGTGGGGAAGGGGAGGGAGTGGGAAGTGATATAATCAGGTATGCATTTGTTTTCTTTTTTATTTGTATTTTATATATCCCACGGCTTGCACAATCTTAGTTCCTCAACCAGGGATCGAACCTGCACCCTCGGCAGTATGAGCGCAGAATCCTAACGACTAGACTGCCAGGGAAATCCCCAGATATGCATTTTGAAAACCTCTGTCTGACCGCAGTATAGAGAAAGGATGAAGGAGCACATGACCGTGAATAGACCAGTTGGAGGGCTGCTCGCGTGGTCTAGGGGAGAGATGATGGTAGCTGCATCTGGGGGTTGAGGTGGAAGCAGAGAGAAGTGGACGGACTCAAGATGTAGTATTTAGAAAATAAACTCGACAGATTTGATACCGAATTGGATATAGGGAATGAGGGGTCTCAAGGATAACTCCTAGGTTTGCGGGTTGCATAACTTAATTGATTAGAGCACTTTTCACTGAGCTATGAAACATCGCAGGTGTGTCTTCTTTACGAGAGGAAATAAAGATTTCTGTCTGAACATGTTGATTTTGAGGAATCTTTGAGCTATCTAAGAAGGGATGATAGTAGTCAGTAGGGAGAGAGGTCTCAGTTGGAGCTATAAACTTGGAAGCCGATGTTATGTAGACGGTCATGTTATGTAGACGGTCTAACTCACCCAGGGGCAGTAGAGAGTGAGACATAAAAAAGAACTGAACCACTCTAAAAATACGGGGGGAAAAAAAGAACAAAGACCTGCTCGTGTAACGGCAACATTTACCGGCCAGGTGGAAGCAATGAGCCAGCAGACATTACTGAGAAAGAATGGCAAAGGAGGGAGGATAAACATTAGGACCCTACAGCCCAAAGGAGAACATGTTTCAAGATGGTGGAACCCATCACCTGGGTCAAATGCTGCTGAGAAGTGGGAGAATCTGATGCCTGAAAAATTTCTGTTGGATTTAGTAGCATGCAAGTCATAATTGACTTTAGTGAGAGATGTTTGCTGGAGTGATGAGGCCAGAGGCAGACTCCAGCGGGATGGGAGAAGAGGAAAGTACGGACAATGTGAGAAGGACTTTGCAAGAGTTTGGAGGTGAAAGAGAGTGGAAAGATTGAGCAGAATCTGGGAGTGAGAGTATGAGTGGTTGACTGACTTCACTGTTCGTTTTTCTTGAAGGGATAGATTTCGACATGATTAAAGGCCAATGGAAAGGATCCAGTTCAGAGCACGAAACTGAATATACTACGAAAAGAAGGTATTAATAATATAAAACATTGGAGAAAGCAAGAGGAGAGGATGGGATCAAAGTCCAGGTAGAAAGATGGGCTTTAAATACAAGGAGAGACTGTTTTGTCGTAAGAGGAGGAAAGGGGCATAGGATGGTCCCAGACAGACAAAGTTTATAACCTTGGTACCTATGGTAGATATTTATCTACTTATTTTCAGTGGGAGGAGAATTGGACTAGGAGGCAAGAGATCCTGACTTTTGTATAGGATCTTCCCCTAAATAGATTCACAGCCTTGGGGAAGTTCTCATTTCTTTGCCCATTTTTAAAGGAAGAGTGCGCTATTAGATGATCTCTAGGATTTTTTTTTTTTTAGGATTTCTTACAGCTGTGCTTATTCTAAGTAAATCAAGAGAATGTGAAATTCAAAATGGTAGAAAATTAACAACCTGAAATGTTTACTTTTTATTGTTTTCAAATGCAGTGCTCACTTCCGGTTCAAGGTGATGGACCTAGGCAATGTATTTAATCTCATCTTCCCTCCCAAATGCCCAAAGAAATAAACAAATAAGAAGAAAACAAATCCAGAGCAGTGCTAGAAAGCCCGAAAAGGTATCACCTTCAGACCAGATAAATATAATGGCTAATAAGTTATTCAGCACTTCCGGTGGGCCAGCTACTGCACTAAACAATTTACATGTATTAAACCACTTAAATAATTCTACAAGGCAGGCGCTATTATTATCCAATTTAAAAAACGAGTAAACAGAGCCACAGAGAGGTTAAGAGCTTGTCCAACCCAGGCAGTCCGACTCTAGAGTCCGTACGCTAAACCACCGTTCTGTGACCTTTCAGAAACAATAGGATATTTCTAGAAATTATACTGTGGAACTCACATCCTGCTAACACAGAAACAGGAGAAGGATATTTGAGAAATAATTATAAATCCTTCAAATAGAGCCCCAGAAAAACTCAGAATTCACAGAGGCTAGGAGCTAGAGTGAGTCATGGAACAGAAAGTAGAGAAGTTAAAGGTCTGCCAAAGCAGCTGGGCCATTCTCCAACTCTGCGCACAGTGTCTTGCTGTAGTGTTCAGCCCTGGCCATAGCCAGTGAGAGCAGCTTTCTAAATAAAGCCCTTCTGTGCGCAGAAAGGGAGCCCAGCATCGACTCTGTGGTTGGAGAGAGAAGTGGGATGTGTCCAGGTAATTTGGGGACCACCATAAGGATATGGAAACAAAGGACATGTTGGCACGGCAGTTAAATCCTTTAAACCACGATACACCCAATAAGACACTTTCCCCACCTCTGACTGCCACCTGTTCCCCATCCATGCTTCATAAATGGGGACCCTCCTGTTGGTACATCCTAACCATTCACCCACACAGCTCTGTCACATTCCGAGAGAAAACCTGTCAGGTGAATAGTGATTCACAACTGCTGAGGACTCCAACCAGGTTACCAAAATGTAGCCAAGTCCTTCATATGAATGGCTTGTCACCAGACATTTCAGGAAAATCAACAGCACAACGGAGAAACACTAGGATGAACAAGAAAACAACTGACTCCTGAGGGAAAAGTTAGTGTGGAAAATGTTTTTAAAATTCTACCTTATATCTTGAGAGATGTCTGAGAGAATATTGCATCCCTAGAACAAAATTAGTCTGCTAAGAAGAAGTGGTCAGAGAATAAGGCAGAGTTACAAATGGGAAACAATTGTTGAAATAAAACAGGTCAATCGCAATGGGCATAACTTGAAAATGGTCTTAGTAGCTTGGAAGCCAAGTCATGGAAGATCAGTAGGACAGACTATGGACAACAAATGAGTATTTCATATTTTTATAGGTTTCAAATCAGTAGGAAACAGGTGGGTGAATCATTTGATGGTATCATGACAATTGGCTATTCATTTGGAAATGAATTAACTTAGAGGCATATCTTAAAGCTCAGTTATCCCCTTTCTCTCCTGCTTCAACTTCTCAATCTCTACTGGATCATTTCCATCATTATCCCAACCACCTCCATTTCCATTCCTTTCTTCCCCTTCGCAGCAACACTTCTTGAACTTGTGGTCCATGGTTGGTCATCATCTCTACATCTTACCTTTCCTTTCCCACCTAAACTCAGTCCAGGAGGGTGTCCATTCTCACCACTCCAACGTATCTGCTCTTGTCAAGGTCACCAATCACCTCAACGTTACTAAATCCAATGACATCTCTCTGTCCTTGTCTTACTCGACCTCTTAGAGGTGCTTAGCAGGGTTGATCACTTTCTTCTGTTCTTCGAACATCCTCCTCTGGGCCTCCGTGGCACCGCTCTCTCCTGTTTTTCTCTGGCTTTGCTGCCTCTTTCTTCCCAATCTCCTTTGCTCAACTTCTCAACCTTGGGTTACCTCAGGGATTGGTTAGTTCTGGCCTCTCTCCTCTGATGCTATAATCTCTCATTTGATGATCCCAGCCTCAGAGTCATAAATATCTTCCATGTAACGATGACTCACAAAGTTACATCTCCAGCCCAGCCCTCTCTCCTAATAGGCACCACAAACATCATATGTTGAAAACTGAGCTCTGAATTCCCCTCACTCCAATTGTTTCTCATGTTTTGTGCAAAAGTAAATACCATAAGAGTTAAAGATAGAAACATAAAAATTAAACTATTAAACTACAAAAAAGAATATATAGAAACATATATATGGGAAATATATTACAATAAGTATCATACTGAGATGGGGAAGGTCTTTCTAAGCATGCCACAAAGCTCAGGAGACATAAAGGGAAAGATTTCCCAATTGACACACAAAAAACTTCTGCATGACTAAAATCAACGTAAAGTTCGAAGACCAAGGGCAGACTGAGATAAACTGCTTGCAGTACTTATCACAAATGACTACTATCAATAATAGAAAAAGAACTTCTACAAATCTTTAAGAAAAGTCAAGCAAGTCAATAGAAAACTTGACAAAGGATATGAAGAAGCAAATCCAAGAGGAAGAACTGTCAAGTGATGAACAGAAGCTTCTCTTCCTTAGTTATTAGGGAAGTACAAATTAAAATGAAGTACCATTTTCAACTATCAGATTGGCAAACACTTTAAAGGTCAATAACACTTAGTATTAACAAAAATATGAGGAAACTGCACAGTTTCACACACCGTTGCAGTGAGTGGTGGTGTGAGTTCAACATTTCTATAGGGCAATTTGGCAGAATCAATCAAAGTTTAAAATATATACATGATTTATAATCCACACCACTACTTTATGGAATCTATTTTAAAGAAATACTAGAAGACATTTAAAAATCAACTTGGAGACTTCCCTGGTGGTCCAGTGGGTAAGACTCCATGCTCCCAATGCAGGGGGGCCCGGGTTTGATCCCTGGTTGGGGAACTAGATCCCGCATGCGTGCCAAAACTAAGAGTCTGCATGTGGCAACTAAAAGATCCCACGTGCCGCAACGAAGATCCTGAGTGCTGCAACTAAGACCTGTCACAGCCTAAATAAATAAATAAATATGTAATAAATAAATTAATTAAAAAATAAAAGGGTGAATTTTATTTTAAAAGATCAACTTGCATTTAACAAAAACAACATTCTGATTTATAATGAGATAACTACAAGTCAACTGTGAAGTTTCAACATGAACACTATTCATCTGTGCAAACCTCCAGAGAGACTGATAACGCTGTTGGCCTTTGCTTAATTTAAAACCAAAACAAAACTAAACCAAACTAAAGAATGTCAATCTACAGAGAGGTACAGTAAAAAATTCTCTTTTTATTGGATGGGTAGAGCCTGCAGCTATTAAATAAGCAAAGGTATTCTCAGGGGGAGGGGGGCCAGGGGATATTTATCTAAAGTATTTATTAAAATTTTATTATAGTTTATGGTAGGAAATGAAACACACTCGTGTCCCTCCTCCTTTGCTCCTTTATTAACGAATTAGGATTCCGGTAATCTAAATTCACAGTCCAATAATAGCCAAGTATTATCCAAATCTTTTCCTATCATATTTATTTAGTAAAACTAACCCATCCATTAAGACTGCATTATCTAAAATCAGTGTTTCCTTTGCAATGCCCCACAGCAAAGCGGATGTGTTCATTACAGTTAACAATCATCGTCAATCACCACGTGATCAATTTAGTTTCAGCTGATACCACCATGAGAAGCGCCCTCCCTCTCCTGTTATTGGCATGCCCGACACTTACGCATCTTTGCAGCTCACATACTCTTCCTATGAAGATTTTCCTGACTACCCCCTGCCATATGGAGACAGGATCAGTGCTTCTTTATGGCCCCACTGCTTCCAGGCCAGCCTTCTGTCAAGACCGGCAGCACCAGCAGAACCTGGGAAGCCTGTTAGAAATGCAGAATCTCAGGCTCTACCCCAGACCTACTGAATCACAATCTCTGGGGATGAGGCCCAGCGTTTTAACTAGTTTTTCAGGTTTCTCATGCTAAAGTTTAAGAAGCACTAAGCTAAGTGTACTTGACCAGAGCCTCATCAGTCTCTGGGTACAAATGAAGTCACATTTACATCACTGCCCAAATGACACTAGCTCCCTCGATCACCCACATTTGCAGGACTCCCCAATCCTTTCCAGGTCTGCTCCCTTCTCCCCATAGTATTTCTGGGAGTGTGTCCACACATGCTCCAGAGTTGATCAGGGCAGCTGCTCACCTCTGGTATGCCTGGTCTCCATTGCTGTTCAGTAGGCAACTTTTAAGCTGACAGTTCTGCATAAGCCACTTAAAAGCTAGTCCAGTCCCTCAATTGAGCAAACTGTGTTTTGGCCTCGAGGAGTGAGGTGTGGGTAACTGCTGGTCACAATGGAAGGCTAAACATGTTATTATCTGCCCTACAATTTGCATTGATCAATTGAATTGCCCAGCCAAAGGCAACTTGTTTGCATCTCTCCAATTGAAATAGCTTACTCAAGGGTTTGGACCTGTAAGTATCCTCTCCTCTCTTGTACATCCATTTCTCTGCAGCATCCCATCAGCATACAAGTGATATGTGTGTGTGCGTGTGTGTGTGTGTGTGTATACACCCACTTTAAAAAAATACTTCTAGTTCTGGTCTGGCATGTAAGAAGCGTGGAAGTCACCACTGCATCCTAACAATAAGTAAAAAGCTAAACAAACTAAAAAATCAACAACTCTTCTTAGATTCATAAGAAAAGTGAGGTCACAGGGCAAACCGCTGCTCCCAAATTGAAGAGACTGACTGAATTACAATTTACTAGAGCAGAAACCCCTGAGTGAAGTGGTGCTGAGGCAGGAAAACCTGAACTGTAATCGACAAATTGCTGGAGGCTCAGTATAGACAAGTCTGAGAAATAAAATACTCCAGGGGGACCTAGTCATCAATGAGTGTCCACATTTTATGAGCTTTACCTCCAGGAGCTCGACCAGGTTCTCACAATAAATATCTGAGAAAAATCCCCTCGTGCTTCCAACAGGCGGAGGGGAAAAGGAACCATTTTGAAATACACCGGAGCACCCTGTTTTTCTTAAGGTCTACCCCCAAGAGAGACTAGTTAACCAGAGCCTAACCTACTGGGGTTTTTAGCGGAGCCTAACTGACCTGAGGGAAGGGAAATACTCAACTCCAGCCCCCTCTAGCCATCCTGTCCCACCTAAGGGGGAAGAAAGAGCTGAGAAACACTTGTGAGGTTCACAGTCCAGAGGCATAGGCTCACTAAAAGACTGAGACCTAATCATAGGACTGTAGAATGCCTCCCCTCCCCCAACACCTTACCAGCATACCACTAAAGTCCTATTTATCAGAGTTCCTTTCACCTCATACATCATGTCCAGATTTCAAGGAAAAATTTCAGGGCATACTAAAAGACAAAACACACAATTTCTGTTTTTTTTTTTTAAATGAGCCTCTCAATAGAGAAAAAAAATTTAATAAATTTCAACACACATTCATAATAAAAACTTCAGAAAACTCAGAATGGAAAAGAACTACCTTAATTTGATAAAGGACATCTGTAAAACACTGACATAATAATTAATAATACATCAAAACTCACAATTTGAAGAAACAGAGCAACCATTGGAACCAGATACAGCAGGGATGTTGGAATTATCAGACCAGGAATTTAAAACAGCTATGACTAAGTTGCTAAGGGCTCTAAATGGGTAAAGTAGACAGTGTGCGGATAGATGGAAATTCTAAGAAAGAACCACAAAGAAATGCTAGAAAAAAAAAAAAGAAATGCTAGAGATCGAAAGCACTGTAACAGAAATGAAGAATGCCTTTAGTGGGCTTATTAATAGACTGAACACAGCTGAGGAAAGAACCTCTGAGCTTGAGGACATCTCAGTAGAAACCTCTAAAGCTGAAAAGCAAACAGAAGAAAAAGACAGGGGAAAAACCCAACTATATCCAAGGACTGTGGGACAACTACAAAAGGTGTAATACACACGTAATGGGACTATCAGAAGAAGAAAGGAATTATTTGAAGCAATGATGACTGAGAATGTCCCCAAATTAATGTCAGACACCAACCCACAGATCCAGAAAGCTCAGACAACACCAAGCAGAAAAAATGCTAACAAAACTACACCTAGGTATATCAGTTGCACACGACAAAAAATCTAAGATAAAGAAAAAATTCTGAGAGAAGCCGGAGGGAAAAAACACCTTACCTACGAGTAGGAGCAAAGATAAGAATGATATCTGATTTCTCAGAAACCATGCAAACAAGAAGAGAGTGGAGTGAAATATTTCGTGCTGAGAATAAAAGTCTACCAATCTACAATTCTGTAGCCTGTGAAATTATCCTTCAAAAGTGAAAGACAAATAAAGACCTTCTTAGACAAACAAAAATATGAAGGAATTGCTGCCAGTAGACCTGCCTTATAAGAAATGTTAAAAGAAGTTCTTTATTTTATTTTTTGTAAACTATTAAACTATTTATTTATTTATTTATTTATTTTTGGCTGCATTGGGTCTTCGTTACTGTGTGCAGGCTTTCTCTACTTGCGGCGAGCAGGGGCTACTCTTCCTTGCAGTGCAAGGGCTTCTCATTGCAGTGGCTTCTCTTGTTGTGGAGCACGGGCTCTAGGCGTGCAGGCTTCAGTAGTTGTGGCTCATGGGCTTATTTGCTCCGCGGGATGTGGGATCTTCCCAGACCAGGGCTTGAACCTGTGTCCCCTGCATTGGCAGGCAGATTCTTAACCACTGTGCCACCAGGGAAGCCCTTAAAAGTTCTTTAGAGAAAAGGAAGATGGTATAGGTCAGAAACTCAGATGTTGAGACTTCCCTGGTGGTCCAGTGGTTAAGAATCCCTGCTTCCACTGCAGGAGGCACAGGTTCGATCCCTGGTCGGGGAACTAAGATTCCCACGTGCCGCATGATGAAGCTAAAAAAGAAAAATAAAAAAGGAAACTCGGATGTACATAAAGAAAAGAAGAGAGGGAATAAGTGAAGGTTAAAACACAATGAAACAAAACAGAAAACCCTTCCTTTAACCTCACATTCTCCTCCAGAATCTGCCCCATTCTCTGCTCTCCTTCACAGCAAAAGTCTTCAAAATAGTTGCCTGTGGTTGCTGTCTCCACATTCTCGCTTCCCATTCTCTTCTTAAGCCCCTCCACTTAAATTTACTCTCCAGCACTCTGCTGAAATGGCTCTACACAAAGATCACCGGCCACCTCCAACGTGCCAAATGCAATGATCAATTCTCTGCCCTGCTTTTCACCTCATCACAGCTGATCACTCGTTCCTTCCTGAAATACCTTCTTCTCCTGGCATCCAGAAACCCACACCCTCCCCCTTTTTCCTCCTGTATCACTGAGCACTCATTCTCAGTCTCTTTTTCTGATCCCTCCTCCCCTGTCTCAGCTGCAAATGCTCACGTGTCTCAGGGCTGGGTCTGGTCCTCTCCTTTCACCTCTTCACTGTCTCTCCTGAAGGCTCCTCATCCAGTCCCCTAGCTTGAAATATTATCCCTATGCTGATGTCACTAAGTTGAAATCTCCAGCTCCTGTGTCATCCCTCAGGTTTAGAATCATACATCAAGTGGCCTATTTGCCCTCTCTCCACGGATGTCATACGAACATCTCCAACTTAACATGGCCTCCTCCCCTCCTCAAACCTGTTCCTTCTCCCATCTTTCTTTCTACAGTTAATAGCACTACCAATCACTCAGTTGCTCGGGACAAAATTCTAGAAAGTCATTCTTTTTTTTTTTTTTTTTAACAGTCATAATCATTTATTTACAAAGACATGAAGTCGTTTCTATTTGGAAAAATAGACTAAGTGACACAACTGGAGAAAAAATAGACTAAGTGACACAACTGGAGAATACACTTATTAATAACAAAGCAGATTAAGAAGGAATAGGCACATAGTAAAATAACTTCAATATAGTTAATGTGAACTAGAGAAATTTCCCATTGTAAGTAGCATTGAATCTACCAGCCTCACCACCACTATCATTACTACTAAAAAACAAAAACGCATTTGACTAGAAGGAGAATTGGTTTTTAAATAAGCTTACAGAAAAAAGAAATACGCTTACAGAATAAATTTTGTCAGTATTCTGCCGGGTATTCAGAATCTAAATCATTCGCCAAAGAAGCTATTCTAAAATCTTAAACTTTCTAGTCAAATGAGAAAAGAAAAGTAAAAACAGGAGCAAACCTCACTTTTTTGTTGTTCATGCCTTGAACTATTAATAATTGCATGAAAAGTTATTGCAAATTATTAGGCATATAAGTCCATAATATTTCCCACTCTGTTAGTTTATTTGAAGCCCGTTACAAGACATGTAGATTCTCAGAGGAAACTTTGTTTACTTACCATGATTATCAGTCTTCAGGTGAATCACCTAAAATCAGAATGTTTTGCCGTGCCCCTTCCGAATCACTTAATCCCTACCAAATTCCAATTAAAGAAAATGATGGCTCTTGGAGACCATTAGGAATAATTATCCCTTCTACAATCTATAATTTGATCATGGATAATTATGTGATGTAACAATAGAATAATTAGACTTCTTTCTCTCTCTGCATTTGTGTGTGGCATAGTCATGCCACATTTGCTAAATATATTTTTAAATGACCTATTAAAATTAGCTCTATAAATGTCATGGCTAGGAAAGATTTAGATAATTGCGATGCTTGTGGTGCTGAAGGTTGTATTTTAGTTTCCTTCCTTAATACTGGAAAAAATTAATTCAATAAAAACTTTCATACCAAATTAGTTCAATGGGCTAGACACTGCTGGGAGATAAGTTAGCAAACCTGACATGGAAATCATTATGGATCACACAGTCCTGGAGAAGAGAAAGACATTCCTCAAAAACCACACAAATAAATACATATTTACAAACTAGGATAAAAATGATGAAAGAAAAAGCATAGTCTTCTGTGAGTGAGCATAATAGGATTTCAGAAGTTTTCCCTGAAACCGCCATCTGTGAGCTGAGATTCTTTTATTGTTATAAAATATACGTAACTTCACATTTATCATTTTAACCACAATTCAGTGGCATTAAATACATTCACCATGCTGTGTAACCATGGGCACTATCTATATCCAAAAGTTTTCATCTTCTCCAACAAAACTCTGTACCTATTAAGCAATCATTCTTCCTCCCTCCCTCCCAGCCCCTGGCAGCCTCTATTCTATTTTCTGTCTCTATGGATTTGCGCCCTCCAGATACTGCATGAAACTGGAATTGTACAATATTTGTCCTTCTGTATCTGGCTTATTTCACTAGAAAGTCATTCTTGATTCTTCTCTTGCCCTCAATCCCCACATCCACTCAATCAGCAAATGCTATCACCTCTCCCAGCAAATTATATCCAGAATGAATGCAGACGTTTCTCACCATCTCTACTGCTATTCGCCTAATCGGAACCACCATTACCTCTCACCTGGCCCAGTGCAACAGTCTCTCAGGGCTGCCCTTTTCCTCCATTGTTTGTCCTCCTGTCAGCAGTCAGTGTGATCTTTCTGAAGCAGAAATCACATCACATCACTCCTTTGCTTAACAGCTCCAAAGGCTTTCTTTTGTATAGCCTGTTTCCGACAGTGTGTTTTTCTGTGTTGGAAATTACTTAATAAGTAATAGGGGACTGATGTTGGGATAACACAGAAGTTGTGCCGGTTAACATGCCATTTTTCTAGCATGCTAACATTTTGAAGCGACCTGTGGCCAACTTCCTCACCATTAAAAAGGCCTGGGGCTTCCCTGGTGGCGCAGTGGTTGAGAGTCCGCCTGCCGATGCAGGGGACACGGGTTCGTGCCCTGGTCTGGGAAGATCCCACATCCCGCGGAGCGGCTGGGCCCGTGAGCCATGGCCGCTGAGCCTGCGCGTCTGGAGCCTGTGCTCCGCAACGGGAGAGGCCGCAACAGTGAGAGGCCCGCGTACCGCACACACACACAAAAAGGCCTGAGCAATATACGAAGACCCTAAGCAAAAAGCAGGAAATCTGCAGAGACTTTCCTTTAGTACTAGTGTGCTTTCAGTGCTTTCAATAGTGGCTGTGGTCTTTTCTGTGGTAAGCTGTCTGTCCAAGCTGTGAGCACAGATGAAGAGGAAGATACTGCAGAGGCATTTCTCCCATGGTAAAATGATGAAAAATAAAAAGGCTTATGTCCTGAACCATTTATTTAATTTCACTGAGGATGGTCTTTATTAGAAGTGAATGCCCTCAAGGACTCACATCTTGGAGGAGGAAGCTGACCCAGGGTTTAATACTGTGAAGGATTAACTGGTGGGGATACAGGACACAAATGCCATAGAGACATAACTCCACTATTACTACCATTGGAATTGCTGTTGCTTTCTTAATGCTCCGGTTACCATGTTCCTTGGGTTTTGAGTGGTTTTCCCTAACCCTACATTTTCCCATAAGCCCTATTATTTTTAGCACACATTTTTGCAGAATGTGAAGTTTTTCAGAGGCATCGTTATAATAGAAACATCTGTACTTATAAAATCCAAACTTCTTACCACCCTCAGTCTCCATGTTATATCTACCTGCAAAATGTCCTGAATCCAATCACTTCTCACCTCTTCCACAGCTACCACCCTAGTCCAAACCACCATCTTTGCTTGCCCAGACTACTGAAATAGGCTCCTTTCTTCTCTCTTCCTTCTAGTTCGTTCTCTACACAGCAGTAGAGATCTCTAAAAAGATCCCTTTAAAATATAAATCAGATTGCACCAACACTCTGTTTAAAAATCAACTCTCTTGGGGGGGGAGGGATAAATTGGGAGTATGGGATAAACAGGTTCACACCACCGTATAGAAAAATAGATAAACAACAAGGATTTACTGTATAGCACAGGGAACTATACTCAATATCTTGTAATAAACTATAATGGAAAAGAACCAAAAAATGAATATATATATATACATACATATGTATAACAGAATCACTTTGTTCTATACCTGAAACTAATACAATATTGTAAATCAACTATACCTCAATTAAAACCAAGTCCAAAAACAGTTTAAAAAAAAATCAACTCTCTAACTGCTTCCTATTATATTCCAAATAAAACCCATTCCCTTTCCATGGCTCTCAAACCATGCCTCAGAGTCTTTTTGTTTGCTGCTCCCTCTTTCTGGAGCTATCTTTCCCCAGTTCTTCACTTGGCAGGCTCTTTCTCATCACTCAGGTACTGGCTTCAATGTTATCTCCTCAGTGATCTTCCCTCCTTACCACCCTAAAGAATTTTCTCCCCCAACTAAATCGGCTCTA